AGAAAGTTACATACAAAGGAACCCCCATCAGACTAGCAACTGATTTCTCAACAGAAACTTACCAGGCCAGAAGGGAATGGGATGAAATAGAAATCAGCTGACAGTTGTATGTGTACTCCCTAGCTGTTTTTCTCTTGCTGCTTGTAAGATTTCACTTTGTCTTTTGCTCTTGGTATCTTAATCATGGTGTGTCTTGGTGTATTCCTCTTTGGATTCCTCTTGTTAGGAGTCTTGTGCGCTTCCTGAACTTGTGGGTCTATTTCTTTCACCAAGTAGGGAAAGTTTTCTATCATTATTTCTTCCAATAAGCCTTCAATATCCTGCTCGCTCCCTTTTTCTGGCACCCCAAAAATCCAAATGTTGGTATGCTTTAAGCCCTCCCGGAGGCTCCTTACACTATCCTCACACTTTTGGATTCTTCTTTATTTTTGCCTCTGGCTGGGTGATTTTTGCTTTCTTATATTCCAGATCTTTGGTTTGGTTCTTAGGGCATGTTGATTTATAGTTGAGTTTCTATATATTCTTTATTCAGACTGTGTAAATAAATTAAGAGATTTAATTTAATTTCTGGTTGGTTCTTTTCCTTTTTTTTTTGTATTCTCATTAAGGTCCTTGAAGGTCTCACAAAGCTTCTTGGAGGTCTCATCAAGTTTCTCAAAGGTTTTTAGAAGATTCTTGAATAATCTTATAAATGTGATTCTGAACTGTGTGTTGTCCAGTAGTTTACTCTCCTCCATCTCTCCAATTATGTCATGCTTCTGTGTCTTCTCATTTTGTCTGCCTCCCTGTATTGATGAAGTTGCTTTGTGTGGTCAGTGACCTATAGAGGCCAGTAGCTCAGCTTCCCCAATCACCTGAGGTAGTTGCTTTTGCTATATCCCTTTGTGGGCTGAGTGCAAAGTCTTGGTATAGTTAAGCCTTGATTGCTGTTAACACATTGGGAGGAATTGACCTCCAGGCCAATTGTCTATCTATGAGGACCTGCTGTGCTGGAGATATGCCTTGTTTCAGTGGGGCTTTGGAGCTCACTGAGACCGTCTCCTGAATGTGTCACTTATGGGTGTGAGGGATTGAAACTGAGCACTAGAACTCTGGTTTCTGGGTCTCAGTGAGGTGCAGTTCAGCTACTCTCTGAGACCAGTACTGTCGCACGAGCTACAGTGTGAACTCATTGGATCTGTTTGTCCCAGGTTGCAATTTTGCTAAACTGCAACAGAGAGGGCCATTCATATGCAAAAGCTGCTGCTTGGAACTTGTGTGTGTTTGTAGGTTTTGCGGGGCGGAGTCTCAAGGCAGAGCCTCAGGGCGTCACTAGGCTGGGGTGTGGCCAACAGTTATGGCTGCCCATCTGCCGCCTCTCCAATGGCCCCCTGGTGTCCCCGTGTCTCCATGTCTCCCCGCGTCTCACACCACAGCACAGCAAACAATCTCAGTTCTGCAAACAAGCCAGACTCACTTTCCTACCTGATGGCAGACAGTCTAGCCCAGGGGTCGGCAACCTTTAAGACATAAAGAGCCACTTGGACCTGTTTTCAAAGGAAAAAAAAAAAAAAACCTGGGAGCCGCAAAACCATTGCGACATTTAAAACAAATATAACACTGCATATATTGTTTCTTACCTTAATGCTATATACCGGATCGTGCAGAAAAAGGGTTTTTTCACTTAACAAGAGCAGCATGCGGCTCCGGAGCCGCAGGTTGCCAACACCTGGTCTAGCCTCTCCCCAGAAACTGGATTTCAGAGAGATCAGGAGCTTGTCTCTCTTTGGATTGAAGAAAGCACCGCCCTCCGCCAGACGGGATCCACTGCCAGCCTGTATCGTGTCCACACCCTCCTACCTCAGTTTTTCAGCACTTCTGCCTGGATTCTCCTCTGTCTCTTTCAGTCTAATTGCAGGGCTTCCTCTCAGCCAGCTTTCTGTTGGTTTGGGGGAGATAGATGTTTGTTTTATAGTTGTTTTTTTTTTTCAAATTGTTGTTCACAGCAGATATTTAATAGTGTTTACCTATGCCACCGTCTTCATTCTCTATAAAGAGGATTTTAACCCTCGAGCTGATTCTACACTAGTATAATAATTATCTAAGATGCTTGCAAAATGATCCTATATTGTGAATTAGGATAAAGTTATGAAAGTGTGACTCCCCTAAATAGGCTTCATTTAGGATTTGTCAGGTGGGGAGCTTTTGGAACGATTGGTACACCAAAAATTCCCTCTTGGAAGTATTGGAGTTTATACCTTCCTTACTGAGGCATAAACGTCAGAAGCTAAGTTCCTTCTTACTTTCGAAGAAGGTCCTGCTTCTTTTTTATATATATATATATGTATTTATTTTTTATTCTCCTTTTTTTTTTACCCACTATAAACCGTTTTTTATTTTTATTTTTTTAAATAAATTTTTAATGTTCATATTATTACAAATGTTCCTTTCCCCCCCCCTTCTCACCCCACCCTCTGCCCTTTCCCCACCCCCCATTGTCCTCATCCATAGGTGCACAGTTTATGTTCAGTCTCTTCCCACATCCCCCTCTCCCCTTTTCCCCAAGAATAAACAGTTCACTCCCCTTCCATACCTCTGATTCTATTATGTTCAACAGTTAATATTGTTCATCAGATTTTTTTTTAATTTCCTTGGTTTTTAGATTCACTTGTTGATAGTTACGTATTTGTTGTTCATAATTTTTATCTTTATTTACTTTCTCTTCTGAAAGAACCCCCTTCAGCAATTCATATAATTCTGGTTTGGTGGTGATGAACTCCTTTAGCTTTTTTTTATTAGTGAAGCTCTTTATCTGACCTTCGAATCTGAGTGATAGCTTTGCTGGATAGATTATCTTTGGCTGTAGGTTCTTGCTATTCATCACCTTGAATATTTCTTGCCATTCCCATCTGGCCTGCATGGTTTCTGTTGAGAAATCAGCTGACAATCGTATAGGTGCTCCTTTATAGGTAACTACCTTCTTTGCTCTTGCTTCTTTTAATATTCTCTCTTTGTCTTTTGCTCTTGGAATCTTAATTATGATTTGTCTTGGTGTGGTCCTCTTTGGATTCCTTTTGTTTGGAGTTCTGTGCGCTTCCTGGGCTTGTAAGTCTAATTCTTTCATCAGGTGGGGGAAGTTTTCTGTCACTATTTCTTTCAGTATGTTTTCGATATCTTGCTCTCTCTCATCTTCTGGGACCCCCATAATTCTGATGTTGGTTCGCTTGAAGTTGTCCCAGAGGTTTCTTACATTATCTTCAACTTTCTGGATTCTCTGGCCTTCTTGCGTCTGCGGAGGAGTGTCTTCTGGCTCTTTATGTTCCAAATCTTTGACTTGATTCTTGCGATCTTCCATTCTGTTTTTAGGACTCCATAAAATATTATTTAATTCAGACAATGTATTCTTTATTTCTTGTTGATCCCTTATTATTTCTAGTTGATCCCTTTTCATATCCTCATAGGTCTTGTTTATTTTATCGGCCTTTTCTAGGAGATTCTTGAACAACCTTATAAGTGTGGTTTTGAACTCTATATCCAGTCGCTTTTTGTCCTCCATTTCTTTCGTTTGTGATCTATTTGGTTTAGGCATTTTCGCAGGCAGCTTTCCTGATGGGGCGGGGTTTCAGGGTGGAGCCTTCAGCCTTGGCTTCCGTCAGCCCCGCCCTATGCGACTCCTGAGACTCAGGGTCCTTCAGTACTTGTTGCAAGCGCCTCTGAGAGAAAGGTGCCCTCGATTTTCGCCTGCTGCCAAACTGTCTATGCTCTCCCCCAATGAGTCCGGTATTGGGGTTCAGTTCAGTTGGTAGTGGGATTGGAGGTGGCGTTCAGAGCAGTCTGGAGCCCCTGTCTCCTTCCCATCAGGGCAATCCCGGGGCACAGCTGGCCGGCCCTTCTCTGCACAGAATGTGCGCGCCTCCGGGACCTCCTTTCGCCGCTTCCCCGGAGTCCCGCCTTATAGCCCGGCTCCCTATGGATGAGCCTGGGTCCCCAGGGTCTGGCCTAGAATTGGGGTTCAGAGCAGTTGGAGCTGGGCCCAGCACAGTTGGAGCTTTTCTCTCCTTCCTGCTTGGGACCGCCAGCCAGGCACTCGGCCTCCCTCCTCTCTGGCTCCGTCCTCTCCGCGCGCACCCGTGTCTCCGTACCTTGGGCTTTTACAGCTCCTCCGCGCTTCCTTCTGGTTTTCTCCTTGCTTCTTGTTGTAGAATTTCCAGTCAGTCGACTTTCCTGTAGTTCTGGGTAATGTCCATTTTATATTTTAGTTGTATTTTATTGAAATTGTTGTGTGCGGCTGCGGCTAGTTGCCTACCCGGGCAGCCATCTTGGATTCTTCTCTCCAACCAGGTCCTGCTTCTTGAAGGTAGTTATCTGAAGATCTCAGGGGAGGATCCCAATAAAATATTTATCAGCTTTCCAGGTGTGTCCTTTCAGAGTCAAAGGTCAATGCAGTAGATCGTGATATCACAATGCTCTCACTCATCTAATTTTGCTGCTTTTCTGGGCCTGGAGCTGAAACACCACTGAAGCCTAGATGTATTTGATGTCAGTCAGAACCTCATTGTCCTGGGGGCTTAAAGCTGAAGGGCTATTCTTAGGTCCTCTGGTTTCTTCCCTCTCTAAGGGGATCTAATCCACATGACTAAGAATATGCCAGGGGAGGAAAGGTAAGGGAAGGCCTGAACCACGACTAGCGCTTGTCTTGCTGGTAAGCATGATATGAAAGGTCAGAGGATCTACACTACAAAACCAGGATATGTTTAGGGAGAAAGGTTACCCAGGGAGCAAGGTCCCATTCCAGTCCTGCACAATGCTATAAACCTGGGGCTTTCCATTCTGGTGACCTTCCCTAAGGCCTATTGTCCTACTCTGCTCAGGCCTGCCTACTACACAAGCAAGGTGTGTGTGTGTGTGTGTGTGTGTGTGTGTGTGTGTACATGCCGAAGAAGGTAGAAGCCTCAGCAGTTACATGGAATGAAAATGAAAAGGAAAGAAAAGGGGAGGCAGAAATAACAGAAGGGCAGGGAGGAACCTGGGTACAGACTCCACCCCTGGCCCATGTGACCAGGAAAGTGATCTTGGCCCAGGAGGAGGCTCAGTGCACAGGGAGGAGGAACAGCACAGCCCACCACCAGGACAGCAGTGCTTGTGAGCATTTCTGGAATCCAAGCTCTTCCCACAGAGGGAGGGACAGAGCAGGCAGCAGACACCATGGAGTCCCCTGCAGCCTCTGCCCACAGAGGACTTGTCCCCTGGCTGGGGCTCCTGCTGGCTGGTAAGGAGGGGACAACTACCTGGTGGTGGGAGGGAGGAGGACAAGCACAGGCTAGCTGGGGACTCCTGGGGAGCACAGGGCTCTCAGACAAAACACGGGGGAGGAAGCAGGCTTCTGTTTGTACTTGAGGGGAGAAGACAGGGGAGCCGAGTAGGAAGGGGGAGGGGACTCAGCACAGGAAAAATGATGTGGAAACAATGAGGGACAGAAAAACCTCAATGGTTGCTCATTTCCCAAGTTACTCATCACTGAGAGTTGAATGCTGAAAACTTTTTTTTAATATATTTGTATTAATTTCAGAAAGGGAGAGGAGAGAGAAGCATCAATGATAAAAGAGAATCACCAATTGGCTGACTCCTGTACTCCCCCTTCTGGGGATTGAGTCCACAACCCCAGCATGTGACCTTGACTGGAATCGAACCCAAAACCCTTCAGTCCAAAGACAACGCTGTATCAACTGAGCCAAACTAGGGCTGAAAACTTTTTATAATAACAATTTATGTTAGGAGATGGGAGATTTAAACAGTGGCACTAAACATTGCCCAATCTTAGAAATGGGCAGATGCATCCCAGGAGGTATAGGTCCCTGCAACACTCACTCATTTGCCCACAGGTACTTACAGCCTATTGCAGGCACTAGGGGTGCAACAAGGTCAGACAAACCCCTGCCCCCATGAATCTCATGTTCTATGGGAGGAGGCAGACAAGGGAAGATCTAGATGTGATGTCAGGTTCCCCCTAGTACCCTGCAGGAAACAGACCAGGGTCAGGTCAGAAAGTGAAGACAGAGGTCTTTAGAGGAGGTGATCAGGGAAGGGGTCTCCCAAGGACCCCGAAGGGCAGACATCTGGGTAACAGTATTCAAAACAGAGGAAATAATAGGTTCAGAGGTGCTGAAGTATTGGTGGCCATATTCTGAACTTGACCACAGGAGACACCACACACACCAAGACTGGGATGAAGAGACCTGCTCAAGACCCAAAGCCTCATCTCTCCATCCCAATACAGAGCTCCAGATATTGATCAATTTCTCTCTTCCCTCCTAGCCTCACTCCTAACCTTCTGGAGCCTGCCCACGACTGCCCAGCTCACTATTGAATCAGTGCCGCCCAATGCTGCTGAAGGGAAGGATGTGCTTCTCCTAGTCCACAATCTGCCTGGGGATCTAAGGGGCTATGTTTGGTACAAAGGGGAAACAGTGGACAGCAATCAAAAAATTGTATCATATAACATAGACACTCAAGCAACTACCCATGGGCCTGCATACAGTGATCAAATGGAAATGTACACCAATGGATCCCTGCTGTTCCAGAACGTCACCCTGAAGGACACAGGAATGTATATGCTACTAACCGTAGACAAAAATGATCAGAACAAGCCAGTAACTGGACAGCTCCATGTATACCGTGAGTGATTGCTCTTAGACATCTGGGTGTCGGGTGGGTGAACTCTAATTTACACACAGGATTGCCAGCCCTGGACTCTGCCTCCATCTCCCTCTGCATCATGTTCTAGGTTGGGTTTGAGCATTCAGTGCAGGACACAAACAGTGGAAACAAATTTCCCAGGATCAGAGTTCCCTTCCTGGATGCCATCCCTGTAGATATTCTCCTCAGAGAGAAGTCTGATGGGAGTGACTCAGCACAGGGAGACTCAGCAGAGTCTCAGTCCAGCCCCAGGTCCCCTCCCCATGACCATGACACTGAGAAAACCCTGCAGAGCTTTCACACACCGTGGCCTGAGAGCACCCTGGAATCTAACAGAGAAGCTCAGCCTGAGAACCCCTCTCAGACTCCTGTCCCAGGGCTCCTGACTCCAGGGAACCTGGGGAGCCAGTGTCAGGTCAGGTTTGACCTCCTGGAGGGCTGGGTGGGACCTGTGGATCTACTCCTGCTCACCAGCCAGGGCTCAGCCCCAAGAGCCACATCAGGACAGGGCCAGAGCCTAGTCTTTCAGCTAAGGTGGTGCCAGAAGAGCACAGATAAACAAAATACTCATATCATTAGCTGACTCTTCTGAGGGACTTAGAAGACTCCAGAGGGACGTCAGGTCCCCAGGAAGGAACAGAGGAAAAAAGATGCTCCTGTCAGCTCCTAATCCACCAGGGGTCAGCCCAGGAATTTTCTCTCGTGGAGGCAAATAATGGCAGTGGCCATTTAAGTCAGTGTCTCCTCTATACTGGGCTTCAGGTCAAGTACTCATGGATATATTAAGGTCAATCCACAGACAATGTGGTAATCCAGAGTCCACTTAGCATTTGTTCTGTTTTTATTCAGGGGAAACGGAGGCACAGTGTGATACAGTCATTGCATCAGGCTCACACTGACACAGCAAGGTCCTTGCACAGCCACAGTCCACCCTCTCCTCCACCATGAGGGTCTTAGGTGCCTGTGGACCCTGAGACCAACCATTAGTTCAGTGCTTTTTCTTACCACTCCCCAGCTCAAGGTAGATTTTCTGGTCTGGCGATTAAGAAAGTGGAGAATTAATTTTCACTTTAGAATCAAATTACCTACAATAACATTCAGAGTCAGTGCTGGGAATACCCGGGCCTTCCCCTCAGGTGGCCGATCCACCCCTCCCTGCACTGGACTATTAACTACTTATTTGTTTTCTGATGTGTTGGCGTCACTCCCACTAGCTGTGAAGGGAAGGACTTTGCCTTCTCATTCTCCACCCTACACCTGCTACCAGCTTAGGAACCAGCACTCACTCGCTCTTTCATGAAGAAGGAAAGGAATTATGGTGAATGATAACAGAATTAATGAATGATGCATAATTGCCTCAGAGACTGGAACATGGATGCAGAGTCCCACAGGTGCTGAGATCCATGTCCTTCCCTCTGACCACCTGTCCTTATAGCCCCCTCGGGAGCCAAGTCTTTTGGTGACTATGGAACTGTTCCACCTTGAGAAGGTTTTTGAGGCTGCATTGCTCCTGCCTTGGGGCAGCTGTGGGCTCTATGAAGTCACCTGTAACCCCCACTGCTCACCAAGGACATTCTGCCTCTCTCTACTCCTTCCATGTCCCTTATGTGCCTCCTCCTTCATGCCAGACACATTGCCTAGCTCTGTTCTGCTTCCTCCACCATGCAGTCTCCCCAGATTGTCCTGCTAACCACCTCCCGGGCAATAGGAGAGGACACAGAAAACAGTGGAGCACTAACCTTGGATCCCTCATGAGACAGTTTCCTAGGTCACCAAGAGAAAGGGCTTCTACTGGGCCCCATCAGGGTTCCTATTCCCCATGAGGCCAACAAGAGCAACAGGCCACATGACAGGGACATGTAAAATATTGACCTACTCTACCATCCAAGTACTAACCAGGCCCGACCCTGCTTAGCTTCTGAGATCAGACGAGATCAGGCGCATTCAGGGTGGTATAGCCGTAGACTGACCTACTCTCTACATGACTCAACCAGGAAGTCAAAGGCAGAAGGACAGGTCTCAGTCCCCAAAAGCTCATGGGTTCACTTCACCCCTGACTGGTGACTCACACCCTTGTCCTGGTGGGAGGCTCCCATTTCTCCCACTGGCTCCTGACATCTTCACAGGATGGGCCTGATGACCCTGCACCATCTGACTGGTTCACTGCTTGTTTCACACACATGTGTCATGAAGACACCTTGACCACAGGATTGGATCCTCTGAGACTGTGAGATCCACCAGCCACTCTCCTTTCTCTTAGAATCTGCACATTTGAATGAATATGACTACTAGTCAAGTCCAGTTTTTTCCCTGAGTTAGAAATACAAGGAAGAGCATATGCCACATGCTCATGTAGGGGATCCTCCTCCTCTGCCTGACTGTGCATAGAAACGGGGGGGGGGGGGGGGGGAGAGACCTTCTTCCTAATTTTACTAACATGGTACATGTCTTTTCTACCAATTTGGTGTCATGCCTCCCTGTATAAAGCAGAGACACCTGGACTCACCCCCTACCTCATTCTCCCATCACTTCTGTTCTCTTAGCAGGACTCACCTTCTCTCTATCCCAGGGAGTTCCTGATTTCAAACAAACTTTGGCATCTTCCTTTGATCATAGTGTGACCTGATTGGATGGCAGAATTTGGTCTAGGACCTTTGTGTTCTTATACAGAAATTCCACGAAAAACTGGCATTAGAACTATAGGGCATGAGTGATTTTCATACATTCTTTCACAGTTTAATTCAAAATCTATCTCATAACTGACAACATAAATGGTCCATGAGGGCCAGCAAGTTCATGCTCCCCCACCTCCACAAGTCTCCCTTCTGTACATGCTATTGCCTGGGTGTTCAGGAAGGATCCCTGCCCTCTGCAGTGGCAGAAAGGACATTACAGACCAAGGCCAGAGAGCATGGCTCTGCTGCCACCGCCAGCCAGCTCCCTTATCCCTAACTCTTTTCTAAATCATGCCCCTGAAGCCTGTGTAATAAATTGTCCTCAAGATTTGCTTCTTGTCTCCCATGTATTGTTTCTGCTCAGACACTCAGTTCAGGGCCACACTGCCCAGTCCTCTAGGGTTTAAGGACTATAGGGTGGCCCATCATTATTGATCTCTAGGTTAACCCTGGAATGTGAGGCTTCAGTGCAAACAAATCTCAACCTGACAATGTAGGTCTGTGTAGCTGGAAGGGACTCAGCACCTACACATTCCAGGTGAGACCCCAAGGTCAGCCAGCCAGTCAGCTGGTCAGTGAGGAGCCAGAACAAGTGGTGGGCGGTCTCTGATTCCCAGTCCTGTGTCTTTCTGTGATCAAACCCTGATAGTTGTCTGATATCTGAGAAAGCCTGTGGTTTTTCTCCCAGACATAGAGCAGGAGGCCTTACAATCTCCGAGGGCTCAGCTCCTCATGCATTTGTTTCTTTTGCGATGCACAGATCGGCTTATTTCTTTAAGAACTCTAGTTAGCTGAGAAGCACCAATTCTGATTGAAGAAGCCTTTGGAGACCTCAATGGGCAATGTTCTCTCTGTTGTCTGCACAGCGGTGTTACCCAAACCCAGCATCACAAGCAACAACTCCAACCCGAAGGAGCACAAGGACCCTGTCATGTTAACATGTGAACCTCAGACTGAGAACACCACCTACCTGTGGTTGATCAACAGTCAGAGTCTCCAGGACAGTGCCAGGCTGCAGCTTTCCATGGACAACAGGACACTCACTTTACTCATTGTCACAAGGAATGACATGGGACCCTATGAGTGTGAAAACCAGAACCCCGGGAGTGCCGGTCGCAGTGACCCATTCACCCTGAATGTTCTCTGTGAGTAACCTCTGTCCCTCCCTGGGCCAGGCTGTCCACCTGAATTCACATTGCCAGAGGCCAGACTACATCCCTCCCTCTCAGGTCAAAGAACACAGACCCGCCACTCTAAATGCCCATGGTGGTCATCTGTTCCTGGACCAAGCACATCTGAGCAGGCTCAGCCTTGAGCCAAGACTGGGAGGGGATTGGATGCTCCTGTCTAGAGAGGCTTAGGGTTAACAAGCTTTCATGGGACAAACAGGTTAATGACTCAGACTCAGGCTCAGTGAACACAGAGGCTATGGTTGGGACTTTTTAAAACAAGGCTCTGACCCAGCTCAGAGGGAGAGTGTGGCCCTTACACAGATCAGGACCTTGCGCTTCCCTCTGATTACATGATGTGTGGCTGTGTTCTCTCTGCTCCAGATGGCCCGGACACCCCCACCATTTCCCCCTCCGACTCCCATTACCTTCGTGGGACAAACCTCAGCCTCTCCTGCCAGGCAGCCTCTAACCCGCCTGCACAGTATTCTTGGCTTATCAATGAGAGTTCCCAGCAACCCACACAGGAGCTCTTTATCTCCAACATCACTTTGAAAAATAGTGGATCCTATACCTGCCTTGCTCATAACTCTGTCACTGGGCTCACAAGGGCCTCAGTCAAGACTGTCACAGTCTATGGTAAGTACCTCCTGGACCATGAGCATTAGGCTCTGGGGTTCAAATCTGTCTGGTTTTCACAAAAGAACCTGGAGGGTGTTGTCTCCCTTCCTGTGGCCATGGACACAAGCAAATCACAGTCTTCCCCTGAGCCCTCCCACTATATCTCTGTAGAATTCCCTCCCTTACTCTTCTGATCTCTCATGGTAGAGCTAGGGTCCAGCCATGGAAAGTGAGGAGGGGTTCTCCCAGCCCCAGAAAGAGTCAAGTGGTGGAGGGAGGAGGCTTCCCAGAGGGGAGAACAAAGGTTCTCAATGTCAAGTTGCACTAACACTTTCCTTCTATCACCTCTTGTCTGTTACCTGCTCCATGTGCTACAAAGAACATACAAGGCTTTGAGCAAGTTCACCTCTTTTCCCCAAACTAAGGGAGGAAACCACCACTGAAGCTGGTGAGCAGGTCAGACCCCCCTGCTTCCTGAGCTACTCCAGGCTCACCTGGTGACTGGCTGCTCTGTGCCCTCTGAGGTCAGACAGGGGTCTGTGGTGTTGGGGCATGGGAGGCCTATTCTCTGATTGCTCAAATCATGTCACCAATCAACATCATGGCCTCCCTCAAACCAGAGAGTGAGCCACAGGGTAGACCCTTCTGAACTGTGTCAGGACTCTGAAGTCACCTGCTGTACAACATTGCGGGACACCAGTGTACGTGACATTCCTACCGAGAGCAGTGAATGGTGGTGCTAACTTGACAAATAGGTAGATTCATGGGACAGAAGGAGCAGTGACACAAAGTGTGTAGTTTATGGAGAAAGCTAAGACTACCAGCTATTGTTAAAATTGATTACTTCTCTCTAGGGACTTTCTTCTCCCTGATATTCAATCCATTGGCCAGGAAGTGAATGTCCTATTCATACAGAGAAATTCTTTAGAATGAAACTTCTCCAGGCCCTAAGCTGGGCCATTCTCATTCTCTAATAAATTATTTAGCACAAGGGAAATGCCTTCCCATCTCTATGTGTAGCTACCATACCAGAGAGGGGGTGTGATTATTTAGAAAGTCACAGAAAGGTCTGGAAAAGAGTCAGACAAAAGTCAATTGGTGGAAAATGCCACCTGAGGATGAAGATGCTGGACACATGAAATAAGGCTAATACCTCAGATGTCCAGGGAAACAGGTCAGGGGTCACCCTGAGTTGATCTAGTCTGTCACCTAAACAAATATCATCACCCTGTATAGGGCAGAGTCCTCCTCTGGTGACCTTTACAGAGATCACTGTGGCCTGTGAGTGGCTGACATCTCTGTGGAAGGAGCCCACTCTCACTCAGTCACCTCCTCTGTTCTCCACAGAACCAGTGAGGAAGCCTGCCCTCCGAGCCAGCAATACCACAGTCACAGAGCATAAGGATGCCGTGGTCCTGACCTGCCTCACAAATGACGCAGGGATCTCCATCCGGTGGCTCTTCAAGAACCAGAGTCTCCTGCTCATGGACAGGATGAAGCTGACCTGGGACAACAGCACCCTCACCATCAATCCCATCAGGAGGGAGGATGCTGGGGGTTATCAGTGTGAGGTCTTCAACCCCGTCAGTTCCAAGAAAAGTGACCCCTTCAGGCTGCATGTACAATGTGAGTGACCCTCAACCTCTCCCACTTGCTTTTGTATATTTCATGGGTAGGGGGGTGAGATGGATGAAAGCCTTGAGGAGGTGGGAGCCTCCTTCAGAGCCTATAGAGCACATGGGTAAGGACCCCAGGATTAGAGTAATCTCATCATTGTCTCGGTTTTATGAGTACGGGGAAGACTGACCACGGGGAAGGCTCTCACCCACCTGAGCCTCAGTTTCTGCAACTCTAACCTGGAATAAAACAGCTGGACCTAAACACTGTTGTTAGGATATTTATTGTGAGGTTAATGAGTTACAGCCTTCAGCCAGGGCCATGCTCATTCAGTGTATCAATTATTGTTGGTATTTTTATGAACGCTGTTGTCAGTAGCTGTAAAGTCAAGCAGATCTCAGTGAAAATGTCGTTTATCACTTACCAGTTCTGTGACTGCCAGCCATTTATTAAGCACCTCCCATCCCTGATTCTGTTTGTGCTCATGGGAGTGACACCACCATCCTTTGTGGGGGTGGAAGGACCACATGACATGAAGGTAAAGTAATTCCCACCCTACCTGGACCATCAAAAATACTCAGCACATTCTTATTACTCATCAGCACTGAGTTGGCAGGTAAGGTGCATAATAAGACTGTCCATGGTGATGGAAAAGAAGAAATAGGGGTAAGAGACAGAATATGTGAGGGAAAGAGGAGTTAAGAAGAAAATTATCAGGACATGGGAATAGTGGGTGTGAGAGTACATGCAAAGGTAGAGCAAATGGAATGTTTCAAATGCACAAAACAGAATGATGGAACAGCAGAAGTGGGGTGTCAGGAAGACTGATACTCCCAAACCGCACAGACTAAGTGGCAGTTCCCTCCTCCCTCATCAGGCCTCCCCCTGCAAGGACTATCATGGTTTCCCCTGAATGGACTTGGACCTTCACCCATCTCCCTTTCCCTTCTCCTTTCAGCAGAACAAACCTACACGGACTACTCTGTGGGGACCATCGTTGGCAGTGTGATCGGGGTCCTCGTCGTGGTGGCTCTGGGGGCCTCGCTGGGCTATTTCCTGTATCTCAGGAGGACTAGGAGGTACCTTCACCCTCACCCTAATCCTGTCCCCTGACCCAAGCTGACCCCCAAGAACCCAAACCAGGAAAACAAAGAACCCATTCTCAGAGGGTTCTGGACCTGCTCTCTGTAGCCTCCCAGCTTCCCCACAGAAGTCCTCAACTCTCCATCCAGCTCCTCCCTCAACAGCTGCTGACCAGGTGGTTTTTTCAATACCTTCTTCACCTATAAATGAGGCATGATTAACGAACTGTGCCCTCAGGACTGTCCTGGTTATCTGCACATACCTGAAGCGGTACCTGCAGCTACTAAGTGCTCAGTAAGGCACCTTCTGTTGTTTATCTAAGTCCACCCTCCCAGGTGAGGGGATGGGTTGTCTCAGGGTCTGAAAGTCATCCTGGCCAAGGCCACACAGCTGAGGGTGAAAGAGCCTGGACAGGCAGGGTTGGGTCAAATGCCCCCACAAGGAGGGTTTGGTAACCACGACCCTGATGTGTGAGACTGCACTATAGCAGAGCCTGTGGTGTAGTTTTTGCCTCTATGTCAGATGGATGGAGGCAAGACAAGCCACTGTCACAGTGGAGCTCTGTAGGCTTGAGGGGTGGGTCTCATCCAGATGCTACATGAGGCTGGCACTGCTGTCCCCTTGACCTTTCCAGTAAGTCAGACTCTCTGGACGGATTCCTGTCCTGGTTCCTCAGTCTCCTCCCTGTTAATCCTCCCAGACCCCCATCTGCCTTTGGATCCTTCCCCTCTGGGCCCAGCCATGGATCCTTAAGGCCTTGCTTCAGTTCCCCTCTTCTGGGTCCATCTGCCCTAAATAGTGGAGAGAGGCCTCCACCCTCTGCTGGGAAAGGAGACCCTCCCTGCCCCGTGTTGTGACACCAAATATCCCTGCACCCCTCACAAGTAAGTCTGTCCTTTCCCAGGGCCAGTGACCCGCGTGGCCTCCAAGAGCACCCACCTCCAGCAGCCACCCCAGGTGAGTGTCTGTTCAGCCTGGAGCCCCTAGGCCTGCCCCACAGTGACCACCCCTGCCCTTGTCCCTCAGGATCTGGCCCTTCCCTAGGCTTCAAGGGGGATTCTCATCACCACTCTGTACAGGGATTCCTACTGACCAGTCAACCTGACCTGTAGGCTGTGTCATGTGTCACCACCTCTCCCTCACTGGACCCTGAAATGGCAAGAGGCTCTTGCCCTGGGAGATGACCTTTCACCCCTGGCTCTTCGGAGCTTAAGAACCACCCCCTCCTGGGAGAACAGGCCAAAGCTTTCTCCCCCTGAGTGCTAACACCTCCTGTCTCTGTTCCCAGGCCAGGGTCCCACTGGAATCTCTGCCTTCCGGGTAAGTCCATCCTCTCCCTGTTCCCTCACCCAGGGCCTCAGTGACCCACGCTCAGGGCAGGGGCACCATCCAAACTCCCAACACAGCATAGACCCCTTCCCCAGAACAGCCAGCAGGGGAGCCGCGCCCTGGCCTGTTGAGATCCTCAGTGAGGAGTGGACAGGGCAGAGCCGGAGTCTGAGGGAAACACTGGAGTCCAGCACAGAGCAGAATGGGCACTGGGAGCATCAGTCAGAGGTCCCAGACTAACAAGGTTGAAGGGATGTAGTGTGGGCTGAGATTGGGGTTCTGGGCTACAGGTGTGAAAACAGCTGCTCAAAAGGCAAAGCAGCCCTTTGCTCCCGTCATCTGACTCTTCTCTCCCCTCTGCACAGGGCCCCCTACCCGACCCCAAGACAGCAGGCCCCATCTACGAGGTGAGTGTGGGGTGGGGTATGAAAGTTCTGTCCTGCAGGTCCCAGGGGCCCCAGGACCTGCCCCCAGCCCAGCCCTGGCTGTGCTTCCAGCTCAGAAAAGATCAGTGAAAAGTGACAACAGAGATTGAGAGGAGGGAGGAACATGGAAACAGACACCCAAGCACAGACAGCCCCCAGGGCGCCTGTGAATCCTGGCACTTGTTCTGAGAAGGCTGCAGGGCTCAGAGATCTCTTCTTTCTTTGACAGGAATTAGTCAACCCAAACACAGAGGTGTACTGCCGGATCATTCCAAGAGCAGACGTGGCTTCTTAGTTCCTCCAGGACCTGACACCCCAGGCCCTGTGGATGTGGCCTGCGCCAGAGAACCAGCTCTGGGCATCATGCTAAGTGAAATAAGCCAATGGGAGAAAGATAAATATCACATGATCTCACTCATTTGTGGACTATAATGAACAAGATAAACTGATGAACAAAAATAAAGCCAGGAGGGGAAACATATTTTTGAATATAATAGTAATAATCCTGCTATTGGCAAATTTTTAATATTTCCTACAATGTTTATGATATCATATTACAGTTTT